CACATAACGTCAGGATTAGTGTGTAAGCCTGCGCGCAGGCCACAACAAAGTTAATATCGTCTCTCTATAAGTCATGACACCAAACTCGAACTCTAGAACATCGCAACTCTGAAACATCTCAACTTTTGCCACCTGACCGCTACCTGCTAGCGTTACCTGTACCGCTACCTGCAGCCTACTGTACGCTAGCCTGCCGCGTACCTGCTAACCGCCTACCTGCCAGCGTTACCTGTACCGCTACCTGCCCGCGGCGTTACCTGCTACCGCTACCTGCCCGCGTACCTGCATACCGCTACCTGCCCGCGCTACCGTGCTTACTGCTACCTGGCCCGCTACCTGCACCGCCTACCTGCCCAGCGTAGCTGTACCGCTACCTCGCTCGCGTACCTGTACGCGCTACCTGCCAGCCTACCTGTACCGCCTACCTGCCAGCCTACCGCCTACGCTACCTGCCAGCGTACCTGTACCGCTACCTTGCCAGCCGTACCTGTACGCTACCTGCCAGCGACCTGTACGGCTACCCTGCGCGTACATGTACGCTAACCTGCCGCCGTACCGTGCTACCGCTACCTGCCGCCGCTACCTGTACCGCTAACCTGCGCGCGTACTGTTCCGCCCCCCTACCTGCCGCGCTACCTGTACCGTAACCTGCCAGCGTACCTGTACGCTACCTGCCGCGGACCTGTACTGCTTCATCCCCGTCAGCGTGAGCGCTCCAGCTTGGCTTTTGGCGCGCCACGTCACCACTCTCTCTCGCCGCGTCGATCGCGACTTGTCGATGCCGACGCCCGTCGAGACGCGTACGAGACAGCGCCGTTGTAAAAGGGTTCGGAATCGGCGTCCGTTCGCCGAGCACGCGCTGTGATGGGCGTCCCGCGGCGCAACCGTCTTCATCGACGACGACTCGTACCGCGTCCGGATCAAAGATGGGCAGAGTTGTCGTTTGACGTCCTGCGCGGCGAAAGCAAGATTTTCGTTGCCGCGATTAGCACCGCGGCCCCTCTACCGGCCATAATAAATCGTACACTAGGCTTGCCAGCGCCCTCTAACCGGCCTAATAAATCGCCGGACACTTAGGCTGCCCAGCCGCCCCCTCTAACCAGCATAATAAATCGCCCGACACTAGGCTTGCCAGGCGCCATCTAGTGAACAGTAATTAAAACACCAAGCTTCCTGGCGCCTCTAGGCGATTACGGCCGCGCTAGCTACGATCCCGGACGCATCTGCCACAGTTCGTTCGCGCTTCAAATATGTATACCGATATTTTTTGATTTAAAGATATTTTCGCGAATTCTATCAGACCTTGACGCGACAAATTTCCGCGCGGTGCGTTAATTTCGCGGTCGGTGAATTATGGAGTATCGGCATCTGATATGATTCGCGCTCCGTCATTTTCGCGGTCGGGCCACGCTGTTCGCGAATTCGCAAAAATTAAACCACCGAAATTATATATAGCCGTTATACAATACTCAGACCACCGTCGCCTTCAAAGATGGCGGGCGCAGACGATATCTCTCGCGCTCACCTCGACGTATATCGCACGCGAACGTGGAGTTGAGCGGCGGCTCCGTGGTCCGATCGCCAGGGGGCCGGACCGAGCGAGAAGCTGCGGTACCACGGCGACGTCGTTCCCTGCCGTGTCCGGGTCCATCAACTCGAAGCTCATCGGCGTCCGCGCCGTTATCACGCTGCAAGCGATAGATTCACCGTAGATGGAGCAGTGTTTCTCGAGATTACCAATTTATTACAATATTTATCGTATCATTGACAATGTTTAATTAAAGTAAGTTAAAAGGCCGACGAAACAGCGTCGGCTCTACAGTCGCTAATATCGCAAACTCGATTCAACGACAAACCCCTGCAACGGCAAGGGAATTGCAACGCATCAACTTGCTTCGGTGAAGAAGCGGGATCAAGTGAGCTATTGAAGACTACCATCGCAGATTACGCGCGCGAGTGGGAGGGTGGCGAGCTACTAGCGAGGCAGCGGCGCGCGGAGGAGGAGGTGGCGGGAGTGGGCAGATCCCCGAGAGAGGCGGCGGCCGGCGGAAGAGGAGGTGGGAAAGGTGGGAGATGCGGGTAGGGAGCTCTGGCTGACGGCGGAAGTCAGGAGGGTTGGGGAAGGGGGAGATGCTATGGAGGCGGCCGCAGCGGCGCGGGAAGGAGGTGGCGGGCAGGGTGCGACCCTACTAGGGCTGGTTCGTGGCAGCGGAGGTGGGAGGGTGGAGATCGCTGGGCCGTGGCGCTTGGCCAACGGAGGTGAGGGCGTGACGGTGGGAGATGCTACGAGGCGGCGGCAGCGGCGGAGAGAGAAGGGGGGAGGGTGGGAGCTACTTAGGCTGCGGAGTGGCAGCGAAGGTTGCGCGCAGGGTGGGAGATGCTAAGGTGGCCATCGCGGCGGCGGTGGCGGAGGTAGCGGAGGGTGGGAGTACTAGGGCTGGGGTGGCAGCGGAGGCTGGGGGAGGTGGGCAGCATCTAGGGCTTGGGGGTACAGCGGAGGGAGGCGGTGAGGGCTGGAGATGCTAGGGCTGGGGTGGCCATGCGAAGCGCAGGAAGGGTGGTAGATTGTTGCTAGGGAGGAGCTGGCTGGCGGCGCGTGGGCGAGGTGCGGGCGACGTCGTGGGAGCTACTAGGCATGGGTGGCAGCGGAGGATGGGGGAGGGTGGTAGATGGCTAGCGGACGGGAGCGGCCGGCCGGCTGGCCGGAGGTGGGCGAAGTGTGTGGAGCTTTACTAGGGATGGTCGGTGCAGCGGAGGTTGGGGAGGGTGGTAGATTGTTAGGGAGGAGCGGCGGCGGCGCCGCGAGGTGGGGGACGGAGGTGAGAGACACTAGGGAGGCAGCGCCGGCGGAGGTGGGGAAAGGTGGGGGAGATACTAGAATCTGGGGGGGGGGGCACGGAGGGCGTTGGGCGGAAAAAAAAAAAAAATGCTAGCGGAAGATACTAGGGAGCCGCGGCTGCCGAGCGGAGGGAGGAGGAGGGGAGGGTGGAAGACTATAACTGGATATATATAATAATTATATAATAGATATAGATATATACTAATATATTATATTATATATAGATAGATAGTATAGATATATATATATATATATATATATATATATAGTATTATATATATATAGGCAGTGGGAGATGATAGGTGGCCAGCGGATATAAATCGACGCTCTCTCACCCGTGAATTCGTCGACGACTGAAGTTGCCGTCGAACGAAGGGAGGAGTAGTTTCGTCCGCGCATGCAAGAAGAGCTGATGTCGCTGCTTAGGAGGCAGGTCCGCGTCCGTCGGCCTGCCGGCCAGCGGAACGAACACGAGCCAAAATCTAATAAGCACTCGAACCCTGCTGGCCTACAAAGCCGCGGTTTCGCTCCGCTTGCAGCCGACGATAATGACGACGACGTGAATCTCGTGAAACATAATAACACTCGAACTCTCGTCGCCCTTACGTGCCGCATCGGCACGATTGATCGCCTCTTTCCCGCTCCACTCGCGGCAACGATGACGCTGTGAAGACGCTCTCGGTGCGAGAGAGAGAGAGGATTAGGAAGAGATTTGGATTTACGGCGCGCGGTGTGAGAATACTCGATCAGTATCGCTCCTTGAAAACGAAACCCTTCAATCTTGCTCCCCCCCTCACCCACACACACACACACACGACACACACACACACACACACACACACACACACACAACACACACACACCACACACACACACACACAACACTACGACCTCGGGCACGCCCCTGCCTTGACATTGTAACCTAACATAACAACTACATCTCCCCAGTTGCTGACTTCCCCTTCTAATCCCCCCACGCACCGCGACCCAGCGACTCAGGTGAATTCTAGCGGAAGGCGGCCGGGTAGAAATCGTCCTCCTTACCCAGTTACATCCCCCTCTCTAAAACAATCCCACCGCCACCCCAACCGCGACTCCCACCACGCCGTTGACTCCCCCGCCACCGTGACCTGTGCGACTCTCGCCAACTCACGTGCACGATGAAATTCTAGGCCGGAAGGCGCGCGCGTAGAAATCGTCCTCCTACCCAGTACATCCCCCTCTCTAACAATCCCACCGCCACCCCACCACCCCCGACCCCACGGCTCCAGCACCGTGGACCTCGCGACCCCCGCAACTCACGTGCACGATGAATTCTTAGGCGGAAGGCGGGGCGGGTAGAAATCGTCCTCCTACCCAGTACATCCCCCTCTCTAAACAATCCCACCGCCACCCCCAACCCCGCGACCCCACCACGCCGTGACTCCCGCACCGTGACCTCGCGACCCTCGCAACTCACGTGCACGATGAATTCGAGCGCGGAAGGCGGGCGGGTCAAAGTCGTCCTCCTCGATGTACCGTCGCTAAGACGGGTATTCGAACACGGGCCGCATGGCGCTTCACGTCGGAGAATGCCCACTCCAGCGTTCGTGCTGTTACGGTTGCCCTGACCCTGCTCAGCGAACAAACAAACAACGTACGTAGGATAGCGTCGCGAAAGAATTCGAGCCGAGAGAAAATGTGTTATATCTAATCTTCTATCTATCTATCTATTTATCTAGATATATATGTATATTATATATATATTATATATATATATAGAGAGAGATGAGAGAGAGAGACAGTGAGATGAGGAGTGTGACGAGTCTGAGAGAGTGTGAGAAGAGAGTGAGAGAGCGAGAGAGACGAGAGAGAGAGAGAGATGAGAGCGAGAGAAGCAAAGAGAAGAGAGAGAGAGGAGAGGAGAGAGAGCAAGGATAGAAATGATAGAGAGAGAGTGAGGGAGAGAAGAAAGAGAGAGAAAGACGAGAGAGAGAGAGAGAGAGAGAGAGTTTCAATTGAGAGCAGTGAGAGTGAGAGAGAGAGAGAGAGAGTGACGAGAGAGAGAGATGAGAGATGAGAGCAGCGAGGAGCGATTAAGCGAGCAGAGAGCAGGAGAGAGCACGAGATCAACTTGACCATGCATGGCCATTTGCAGAAAACCAGTAGTCCGGAATACATTTCCCACACGCGCAATAACAATATGATTCGCAAGGGCACTTCCACGCGTCTTAGGATCTACAGGACTACCATTACTTCTGACGAACGGCCATGCGGATGGCCGCCACGCGTACCTTGTCAGGTCGCGAGCCATCCACGGTAAGGTTAGTATTATCCGTTCGGTCTCGCGGATCCAGCGGCTGCGTCCCACGCTGACGAGACCCGTCGTTTCATTGACGACGCACCATGCGACGACAGAACAAAAACATCAGAACTTATTGGGCAATAGATGACGCTTGTGAATTTACTCTTATTTACTATTATAAGGTGTATATATACAAATATATAGATTATAATATAAATTTATAGAACATGCGTTTCTTCGAACACCATTATACGTAAAAAGAGATCGGCCATGTTTGATCGCAACGTTTGCAAATGAATAAGCGTTGATAAATGACGACGGCGACGAATGACGCGATGAATGACAATGATTGATGACGATGACAATGATGAATAACAATTGATAATGACGGACGACATAATGATGATGACAACACAATGATAGATGACAATGATGATGACAATGATGATGGAACAATGATGATGACGACAGTACAATGATATGACAACAACAATGATGATGACACGCAATTGATTTGATGATAACGACAATAAATGATGACAATGATGATTGACAAACGACATATGCCTGACTGATCAATGATTGATGACTACGACAATGTGATGAACAGACGACAATGATGATGACGGACGACAATAGCATGATGAGCATTGACATATGAATGCATGACACATGATGATTGACGTGGCGAATGATGGATAACAATGATTGAGGAATGATACATAAAACAGATACCTCGTTCAATTCCGGTGTCCACGATGGTAATAGATACACTATTTTTTGCGCGTAGTCACGCTGAATCCGGCATCTGTAGCCTGTAACGGGTGAGCCGAATAAATGACGAACGGGTAATACATTATTCTATGCAATCCATCACACGTACGCACGCATGTACACATCATGCAAACATCTAGCCCATCGTCACCTCTTGCAATATTATCTACATCAGCACACCCACCACACGTAGCACGGCATGTTACACCACAGCAGTTAACCAATCAGCCCGAGCCCACCTCTAATATATCTTACACACCACGTACCCACCCACACGTACGCACAAACGCAAACATTCATCCTTCTGTCGTGTGCCCCCCCCCCCCATCTGTCTCCCGCGTCCATTCCACCCTTCCGCTTCATCTGTCCATCCTAGTCTTCCCCCGTCCACTCCATCCCATCCGCTTAATCTGTCCATCTGTCTCGCCGTTCCAATCCACCCATCCGGTCCGTCTGTCCATCGTCCCCCGTCTACTCGCACCCATCCGTCCCGGTCTGCCATCGGTTCTCCCGCGTACCAATCCCACCCATCGTCCGTTTGCTCATGTCTGTCTCCCCGTCACATCCACCCATCGTCCGTCTGCCTCCGATCTGTCTACCTGTGCCCCCGTCCACCCACCCATCCGTCCGTCTGTCCATCTGTCTCCCCGTCCATCCACCCATCCGTCCGTCTGTCCATCTGTCTCCCCGTCCATCCACCCATCCGTCCGTCTGTCCATCTGTCTCCCCGTCCATCCACCCGTGCGTCTGTCCCTCAACCTGCCTGCCCATTCGTCCATCTGTTCCTCCGTCTGTCTGTCCGTCCGTCCGCCCATCCGTCCGTCTGCCCATCCGTCCGTCTGCCCACCCATCCATCTGCCCACCCGTCCATATGCCCATCCGTCCATCTGCCCATCCATCCATGTGCCCGTCCGTCCATCTGCCCATCCGTCCATCTGCCCCTCCATCCATCTGCCTACCCGTCCGTCTGCCCGTCCATCCGTCCACCCACCCGTCCGTCTGTCCCTCTGTCTGTCCGTCCGTCCATCCGTCCACCCGTCCGTCTGTCCCTCCATCCGTCTGTCGATCCATCCATCTGCCCATCTGTGTGTCAGACTACATTCTTGGCTGTCAGATTCTGACATCCTCATCTCGCCGTACGGTACCCAGTAGACTCACCCACAACTGTATGTCAGACTACATTCTTCACTGACAGATTCTGACATCCTCATCTCACCGTTCTCTGTAGACTCACCAGGATAAAAAAAAATACACGCGAGCGATGAGCGATTCGCTCTTCAAACCTCCGAAATCGCTCCCGTGAGGCTCAAAATAGCTCCCGTAAAATTTTCGACGAGAGCTATTTTTCCACAGACTTTTGAAAAAGAGCTCGCGTAAAAAAAGTAAGTTCTCTGAGACTCACCAACAACTGTATGACATGATCGCTGATGCTCGCGTTCTCGTAGAGTTCCACGTAGTACGGCGCGTCCACCCACTGCGGAAACTTGTCGTTCGTGTCGATCAGATGAACGATGACGTTCGTCCTGCCGGAGTACCGCTCTGGTGTTTTATACTCCGTCGCTACGAGCTGCGGCGAACGCACGTCAACATGATGTTACCGTAATACTATAAATATTACATAAGAAGATACAGGAAGACATAAGATAATCTTTTGTCTAATCTAAACTATTAACTGCATAAAAAATAAATGGATTGATAAATAAATAAATAAATAAATATATATGTATATATATATACATTTATTTATGTATTACATAATAGTTTTTATAACATTTTTTATGTTACATAATTATTATTATTATTATTATTAAGTAATGCATTTTAATTAATAAAAGAATATATAAATACAAATGTAGTAATTCATCCTGAATTATAATCACTATATAATCACCTGGAAGCTGATGCTCTGCATGAGTTGGTAGTCGAGCTTCGTCGGGTCGAGTACCCTGAGCAGTATCGTGCCCTCGTTGACAACACTCTCAGGCTGAACGGAGAACACCCCGTCGTCGCCATCCAGGGTAATTGCCAGCGTGCCGTTATCCAGCTGTGTGTGCGATGACAGAGGGAAGAAATTGACAGGAAAACTTGGATGTAAAAGACCTTATTTCTATATTTGTACGTACTAATATACTATAAATGCTATGTGTATGTATATGCATATGTTATTCAAATATTATAAATATTGAAATATTTACTTGTCTCTATATATATGTGCGTGTGCGTGTACATTATATATATATACACGCACGTACGCACGCACGCACGCACGCACGCACATGCACACGCACACGCACACACAAATCTTCGCTCACCGAATCCCAGTCGTAGACCTGGATGTCGCCTTGGTCTATCGTCACGGGAACGGACTTTGGCGAGTTCTCGAGGATCGATCCCGTGTACGAGTCCTTCGCGAACTCCGGCTCGTTGTCGTTGATGTCGAGCACGTTCACGTAGACGAGCGCCGTCGCGTTGGCCTTCCACTCGTCCACATCCGTGTCCCTGCGCACCTCGACCTGCAAGCGCGGAGTCGGCGCCCGTCTCAGTCGTGCGGCGAAACTTCGCAAGGGGGCAGGAGGCGGGGGAGGCAGGAGAAAGGTGCAGGGAGGTGGGTGGAAGTGGGTGGAGGTGGGTGGAGGTGGATGGAGGTGGGTGGAGGTGGGTAGAAGTGGTAAAGGTGGGGGAAGCAGGGGAGCCAGGAGGTGGTAAACGCAGGGGGTGGGTGGAGGAGGGAGAAGGTGGGAGGAGGTGGAAGGAGGTGCAGGGGGTTAGAAGGGGTCTTCGAGGCCACGTACTCATTCAGAAGAACACATTACATACCCGTTACAGCCTAAAATCTCGGGGACCCGTTGTCAGAAACAAAATTTGTCTAAACATTAGTCTCGATGGTTTCGTGTTAATGTTAACATGAACTTTTCTCCTAGACCGTGGACAGAAACAAAGTAAAGTGACGAGTCTCTACTACGCAGTGCATAGAGGTCTAGTCCACGAGAAAAATTCAACATCAGGACTAATGTTTATTGTTAATAGTTCTTAATACTAATTTTGTTTCTGACGACGAGGGCCCGATGGTTAAACCAAGAGCAACACTTTCCCTGAAGTTGGCAATAAAATGAGATAAAATAATTTAATAAAATATCTTAAATTTGAAAAAGAATTTGAAACTGAGAGTACCATCACTTCGAAGCGTCCGTTGATGTCTAGCAGCTGTTCTCTGTCCACCTCCTCCGCTATCGTCATGACACCCGTCGATGCATCGATAGCAAACTTGTTCACCAAGGCCGGATCTGTAGGAAGATACGCAAACTCAGTTTGTAGAACCTTATGGGAATGTATGACTGATAAATTTACAAATTTGTATATTTCAATAGTCACTAGTTGTTTAGTAGTTACATGCTGATAGTGACAGTAGTGTCATGACATTTTTATTAACAGTAACATAGCAAAACAAGGACCGCAATGTCAATAAGTGTGCTAGTCATACGTTTTGTGTATATATCCTTGGTAGTTATTTAACTTAATGAATTTATAATATATTGTCAAAGTACGCTATGCATGTATCATGGATAATTACCTAAATAAAAAAATTTAATAAAATAATGAAAACTCGATCACTAAGAATGATAGGGGTGTGAAGGAGAAATGATGGTGTGGATATGAGATGATGATACCGTGAGATTGCAACTTGACACAAGATACGAAAACTCGATCACTGCAGGGTGCGAAATTAACGAAGTCAAATACTCCCCGATTTACTGTCAGACTCCCTGATTTTACATATGCAGGAGTCTGCGTGACTCCCTGAAAATTCTGCCATGCCATTCTGCCATAGTTCGTTCCGGAGCACGGCCTCGCTGAATTACTGTATTTTTTCAGCTAATGTCCAAAGAAAATTTGGCAGACGTGCAACTGCATGAATCTCAAAAATAAGCACACGCGTTATTGCTTTAATTTTGAACCTCAGACTGCGGACTCCCTCATTTTGCTGCGGACTCCCTCATTTTGCTGCGGACTCCCTCTTTTTGAGGGTACGGACTCCCTTGTTCAAAAGTTAATTTCTACCCCTATTACTGTATGCATTACTGCATGGGGAGTGAAGGTAATAGGAATGATAGCATATGGGAGAGAAGAAAGATGGTGGTGAGGGAGGAATGATTGAGGGAGAAGGGAGGAATAATAGGATGGGGGATAGAAACGATATAGGGTAGGGTGGCAGGAATGATAAGGTAGGGAGGGAGGAAGGATTAGGTGGGGATGGAGGAATAATAGAATGGGGGATAGAAAGGATATAGAGTAGGGAGGCAGGAATGATAGGGTGGCAGGAATGATAGGGTGGCAGGAATGATAGGGTGGGGAGGGAGGAATGATAGGGTGGGGAGGGAGGAGATGGGGTGGGGAAGGAGGAAGGATGGGGTGGATATGGTGGGGAGGGAGAAGGATGGGTGGGAGGGAGAAAGGATGGGGTGGTAATGAGAAGAATGAAAGGGTGACGATAAGGGAATGTCAAGATAGATAGAGGGTGGTGCCGGCACCACCTGGTGTCAAGCATTGCCTTGACGTGGCAATGCAGAGCCACCTGGTGTTAAACACTGCCTTGACGTGGCATGCAGAGCCACCTGGTGTCAACACGCTTGAGTGGCAACAGAGGCTACCTGGTGTCAAGCATTGCCTTGACGTGGCAATGCAGAGCCACCTGGTGTCAAGCACTGCCTTGACGTGCCAATGCAGAGCCACTTGGTGTCAAGCATTGCCTTGACGTCGCAATGCAGAGCCACCTGGTGTCAAGCATTGCCTTGACGTACCAATGCAGAGCCATCTGGTGTCAAGCATTGCCTTGACGTGCCAATGCAGAGCCACCTGGTGTCAAGCATTGCCTTGACGTGCCAATGCAGAGCCACCTGGTGTCAAGCATTGCCTTGACGTGCCAATGCAGAGCCACCTGGTGTCAAGCACTGCC